GAAACAATTTTTTAAGTCTCCTTTTGGGGGGAAAGTAAATAAATAATATTTTAGCAATTTATCATGTTTTTTCCACTAAAACTAAACTTCGATTTTTCTCATAAGTAGGAGGTTCCATATAACCGCAGGAGTGAGTTTTGACCATTTGACCATGTGACTCGATTGCAGACACTGTGGAGTCTAAGCCGAATGGGCAAGAGTCTGGATTTAGCATTACTGTATATGCTGGCAGCAAAGCAAACAAAACGACTGATGATGCAGAAATCGTAAAAACTATTAATAATAATAATATCAACAAAATTATTATTATTTTATGGCGAATCTAAGTTATCTAATGCATGTATTTAATGTTACTTTAATTCAGTTTAGGCCAAACATTACTCAGATTACTCAGCTGAAATCTTGTCTTGAGTTTAGGAAGTTGATGAAAGCCAAAACTAAAGTAATCAGCAGCAGTTAGAAGCTAAACTGAATTAATTAAAAAGTAGGAAGTGATAGGCAGAATGTTCGCTAAAGATTACAAGGGATGAAAGTACTGAATTACTGATAAAAAAGTGTTATTTAAACATTTTAATTAGGTTTTAATACAGATGAAGGCATGAACATGATTATTATGATGAAATTATCATAGAGGAATAAATAATTTTAAAGATTTTGCTAAAATGTTTGCTGTGCCTCTTTATGGTAGCATGAATCACAGATAAGATTATAGTTTTTGGAAATTTATTGAAAATTCAGAGGATTCCTCTGTATCTCCCCTGTGCAGAATAACGTCATCRGAATAACATGCACGCCGTTCGGATTGTCAATGGGCATAAATCACCCCTCTCTCATTTGGATTACAAATTCATTCTAATCGAGCTGAATCAGATCAGAATATTCTGTTTGGGGATTTATATGACACATCTTTATTCTGATTGGTCATTTATTCTGATTACTTATGTCCACGTATTCATAGTTTATGTTTTACCAAGTCAGCCTGTCTYACCTGYCAYAGCTGCAGCCCCTTCCCTCATYGGCCACAGTCCATTCTGTTGCTCTACTTTCAGTCACTCTGTGGAGCATTATGTGTTGTAACACCATRTCTGGTTCTGTGCCTTTTCAAATCCTCCTAGTGCCACCTTGTGTCTGAGCTTCAGTTTTAGTAATGTAAGTAATGAATAGTGTCTTGAAAAACAATAAAGCACGATCGGATACTTCACAATATTTTGTGAAAGATGACAACGAAATTTATGATCAAAATGTGATGGTAAACTTTACGTGCGTGGAGGAGGTGCCAGACTGTTGTGGCTGTGTATGGTTCTTCCACACACTACTGAGGCTCCTGTTTRTTAAATGAACKAAGAGTCAAATTGCCAATATGTCTTCTTGTTCCCTCAAACTTCAATCATCCAGTCAAACACAAAGTCAGTCCGTTGTAGAAWAAGCTGTTTGACAATGGCAGAGATGCAAATTTTTCATGTGAGCAACCCACATACTCAGCTCTACTGCTCATCCCACAAACAAAAAATAATCTACCAAACACAAATTTCCTTACTTTTTGTGCGAAGTTTATTTACTGTTAATATCATGTTATTTTAATCTACTGTATTTGACTTGTCATTCGAAGATAGTACTTTAGATTATATAAGATTGAACTTTCTATGTGCTCTACATGACATGAAACTAATAAAACCTGTTTYGGACATGCAGATGGCCACAGGGCATCAACAAGGACAACAAGGACACACAGCATGTTGTTAAAGCAGATGTGAAGAACACCGAAGCCATCCATCAGCCGCCTGTCGCTTCATAACCCTGCACGCTTCTTCATTACTGTCTGACTTCTTCACCTCAACACTTTTTCTTCTTCTCCACTTCCTACATCTAACTTCCTCTTTCCTTCACCCCTCACCTTTGGGTCTTGTCATTTTTCACTTTTTTATCATTTTTTTGTCCTTATTTCTCACCTTTATCCAATTTATTCTCTTGCATTTCTTGATACTTCACCCTGCTTTAACTTATCTTTCACATACTTTACCAGTCTGTCTCGGTCACTTTGTTTCTGCTACTCTAAGCATCCACCCCCCCACCCCCACCCCCTCAAACACACGCACACACACATTCATATGCACCGCACTTCTTAATAAATTAGTAATAATGTCACCATGCTTCCTCCCAGGAGGCCAGTGTTATTGACTTCATTATGCAAATGTAAAGCAGCCCAAAGCAATACCACTGATGGGATGAGACACACACACACACACACACACACACACA